GCAGCCATTTTACCAACTCTTCTTCCCTCCAGCAAATTTCCAGAAGGCTGGTAAAATCTAAGTCATGAGTCAGCATGATGACTTTTCATCAATATTGTGCTGGATTTTGAAGGAGTTGGCTGATTAAGTGGCCGCTCCCAGGGACCTCATCCAATTAAGCAAGGAAGAAGGGTGGGCTCCCAAGGATGGCGGATGAGCAGGAGACCTCCAGCACTTAGGGATTAGCCCTGACATCGAAAAAGTGAGAGTTGCTGATGTAAATAGGAGATAGGAAGAGCACCTTAAGATGGAGGCTCTGAAAACCTTTTATGTTTTTTAAAATCAAAGACCACAGCCACCAGGCCATGTTATAGAGGAGCAGAACCTTCCACTGGATAGCCCAATGGCTATAGTGGGTACCAGGGAGGTGGGCAGGGCAGGGTTTACAGCTGGATGGAATGTTGGATTACCAGGAAGCTGCTGCCATATCTCTTGGCCATATTCCAGCCTTGGGTGGGGACCTACATCCCACTTGGAAAATTCAAATCTACAATGAACTCTGCCTCTCTCTCCACAGATACCGCCAGAACATGATTTATTTCCAGCCTTTGCTGTTTTTATTCCAAATTTTCAGCATGCACTATTTTGCTTTGATAATAGTGTAGCCTAAAACAGACGGTGATGCTGGTAATCTTACATTGCCACACTTTTTCAAAGCAGCCCCATTGTCAAATTTCCCTAGCTATGCAATTGCAGTTGCTGAAGATTTGCAATTTGCACTTGCTCAACCTGAAGTTTCTGCCTTCATTCAAAGGTTCTACAGTATATTTTTGGAAGCTTATAGGCAGAAATCCTGTGTTCCAATTTTAACAAACTGGTTCCTGTGTTCACTTGAATTTCTGTGCTACTTTTAACCGTTATTAATCAAAGCAAAGGAATTTTTACCCCTGGAGCCTCACTTAATCTAATTTTATGTTACCTCTGAACTCGATAGAAAACCACAATCCTTTTCACCTGGAAAGGGAACTTTCATGATTATTTTTCTCTTGAGACAGAGAGATGTTAAGACTTTTTAAACAGTCTTTTTTGGTTTTGTGTGTATCTTCAATTTGTTCTTATTGCACCAGTGGAAGGTTAAAACAGCTGCAATACTGTGTAATGCATTTTGAAATGTTCTCATTTTGATTTCTGCTCTGAATTTTAAGGACCTGCAGAGGGCGAGGGGGAGAATGGAGGTGGATAGAGCCCCAAATTACCAGTGCTAGGTGGTAATGCCAATTTCCTGGCAGCAGGTAATTTGGCAAAGGTGGTTCTGAGCTAGCAGGGTTACCTGTTCTCACAATAGCGGGTAGCAAATTCAGTACATGAAAGAGCCTTATTAAGTACACTCAAGGGAGGTTGACTGGGGTAATCCTTTTGGCTTCCAGGTTCCTGAACTGACATTGGAGAGGCTGGAAAAGGCAGTTTAATTGCCTAGAGGTGGTATCCAGCAGCAGGCCAGGGGCCAGTGCACTAGGCAGGCCTAAAAGTACTCCCTACTTGAATGTAGGTGCAGGGATTTCACTTCTCCACCCATTTCCACACTGGTGCCCTGGCTCCTGTTTCTGTTATTTAAACTTTTAAAAAATGTTGGCAAGAAGATGGCTCCATGTTAAAGCACCTTCTGTTAGTAATCACCTATTGTAGCCAGCTGATCCTCTCAAGCTGCAAAACGTTGATAGAGCCTCTAGCTTCAAGAGCCTGATGGCTGCCCTTAAGTAGACGTTGATGTCCAATTAAGTAGATGTCCAATTAAAGGAGCACCTCCTCTTGAAAATAGTGATTCCCAATTGGGCAGGTTTTGTACCCAGCAGAGTCCTGACCCTTGTTTCCTATCACTGGTATGGAGGTCCAGCCCCTGGTATCCACTGGAATAGTGGCAGTGTGTTGTAACTGTTGGCAGGTTAGAGATTGGTATAGCCAGCACTTCTACAATTGATTCACTTTCCAACAGGA